ATTTCAAAATTTAAAGGATTATCAGCTTGATACAGGCCAGTGAATTCGTTAATCATTAAGCTGATGGGCACTTCTGAAGCAGTTCTTCAAGTTTTTTGCGGGGCTGTACCACGCCTTTGTAGTACTGATTCATGTTTTAGCAAATGTGATCCTATATTTTCTTCTAAATACCAATTAAAATGTCAGAAGAGAAGGGTCTCAAGATACATGCAATTGCTCAGTTGTTCAGGTATGCAACAAAGTCGTATAGGAAATTATCGATTTCGGGGGATAGGGAGTGGTTTGTTTGGAAATATGAACGTAGGAGATTCTTGGATTCAGAGTTGCAAGTGCCAACAAGCTGAAAGTATTAGTGGGGCAACTACAGAAAATGAGAATGGGACATGGTTTGTGGATGGTGCAAAGAAATTGAACACAATCAACAACATGGTGAATGTGCCGAATGCTTTGGAATTTCAAGATGTTCAGCAGTTGAAACAGGAAAAGGAGGGCTTGTCACCTAATGGAATAAATGGAACAGTTAGAGATGCCTTTCACAAGATTAGTGTTGATTCGCTCGAGGATGAAGCATGGGATCTACTACGTGAATCTATGGTTTATTATTGCGGAAGTCCTGTTGGAACCATTGCTGCAAAGGATCCTACCAGTTCCAATGTGTTAAATTATGATCAAGTCTTTATTCGTGACTTCGTACCTTCTGGCATAGCTTTCCTCTTGAAGGGGGAGTATGATATTGTTCGGAACTTTATACTTCATACTCTTCAGTTGCAGGTAATGTTTGTAATCTGGTAATAAAGACCTTCTGTTATTCCACGGTCAATATTACTAAATGGTGCATTCTCATATTACTAAATTTTGTGGACTAGAAACATTGTCTAGTTTAACTTTTGTGGTATGCAATTGTATATATCAAATTCGGTTTAGATTCTCGATCAAATTCATGTATATGTGTGTCTATGCTTGTATTCATGCGTGCATATATACGGAGAGGGATTCAAATATGGGACACAATGTTTGAGCTCACCCTGCAATGGTGTCTAATGAGCGGAATTGTCTATTTTTTGGTCCACTTGAAGAATAATGCTCGCAAAAATAATCCAAATTGGAAAACATTTAGCCATGTGATTATCATCACAATTATTTCAGTGTTAATCAGAAAACACTGTATTTATTTTATCCCAATTAGATGTCTAAATGGTTCTGATTTAGCTAATTTCTGCTAGGATGATCCTTAAAAATAGACAATCTGGATTTTTGCACTGCATTGTGGGATGGGGCCCACCATGTTTTCCTTACGTCTTAAGGATCTCTTACTTGAGGCTTCTTTGTGTGTGTGTCCAGTTATATGCAACCAGGAGTTAACTTATTTGGATCTCTGTCCACGTAACTACATTCTTGTAAGAGGACGTTTTGATTTCAAAGCAGACACCCATTCATTAGATAGAGAAGAAGATCACAAAGATTTCGTGATCCGCCGCCGAACTTATTCAAATTATACATCATATCATGTGTATTTTTTTTTATCATTTATGTTTGTATTCTTGTTTGTTAGCATCATGAATCATTTGTAAATTTGTTTTCTGTACTTGTTATCCTATTTAGTAAGCGTATTCCTTATATTTCAGAGCTGGGAGAAAACAATGGATTGTCATAGTCCTGGTCAGGGTTTGATGCCTGCTAGTTTTAAAGTGCGTACTGTTCCTTTGGATGGTGATGAATCTGCAACAGAAGAGGTGCTGGATCCAGACTTTGGAGAGGCAGCAATTGGCCGTGTTGCCCCGGTAGATTCTGGTATCTGCCAGATCATCAAGTGTTTTAAAGTTAAAAAGATAGCTTTTTCTTTACCACTTCTTACATTGGTGAAGTCTTATTCATATTGTTACGTAATTTTCAGGGTTATGGTGGATAATCTTGTTACGTGCATATGGAAAATGCTCGGGTGATCTCTCAGTTCAGGAGAGAGTTGATGTGCAGACAGGGATTAAGATGATTCTAAGGTTATGTCTAGCTGATGGTTTTGATATGTTCCCTACATTATTGGTAACAGATGGTTCTTGTATGATAGATCGACGTATGGGAATTCATGGTCACCCACTGGAAATCCAGGTATCATATTCTTGAACAGT